GGTGACCCTGCTGGTATTTAAAATGCCCATGGCATAGCTTCCAGAATCACAGCAACTCACAAGCCACCACAGTACGACAAACTGACAGATGCAGACTTGAGCCCTGTTCTAAATGGAGGGTGTAAATTCTCACCACATCTATTCTGACCATCATTATTTGGGACCAGGAGTGGTTCCAAGTGACAGACTGAGGAAATGGGCCGGGGTTGTCTGGCCTGGTTGGTTTGAAAGCTGAGGGTTTCCAGCTAGCTGTAGGGGATGTGGGCTTCCAGATCAGGATGTGCAGGGACACAGGCTCCCTAGGAAGGAAGTGTCTTGAGGGCTTTGTGGCTTCTCCCATGGGCCTTTCTGAGGCATGAAGATGATGAGACTCAGAGCAGACTGGCTGCCGCAGGCTACCTGGGACAGTTTGAAAGTTGAAAGCTCAGAGTTGTGTAGTCTCTGTTCAGGATATGACCTGGAACTCAGGAGCTCTGGTGGCATCTGAGCATGTTTCTCTTCTGCAGTCATAGTGCTGACGTAAAACCAGGCCAGTCTGACCTGATGACGGAATTTCATTACACAAAAGGCAGGGAGGGCATTTATCAGAAGACCACAACTCCAAACTTGGAATTTCAATGTTAGGAAGAGTTCCATTGGCTCTTGAGAGCCCAGAACCCCAACTCTTGGAGATACCCCTGCTAGCAGAAGCATGGCCTCTTCCCTGTCCGGGGAAGCTCACCTCATCAGGCCCAAAGACCCTGTAATGGTCTCTCTCAAGAGGATCAGCCAGAAGAGGGATGCCACAGCTGGAGTCAGCAGCCACCACTAACAAGCCCACTTGGACTAATTTCAACTAAAAGGACTTACTATAGGGTTTCACTTTGAGAATTTGGGGGCTGAAGAATCAAGTCTGGATTTCTCATAACTAGGAGAAATGCCCTAGCTGAACCAGGGTGGTTCTGGTAGCAATCCCAGCCCCTGCCAAGCACTTAGGGTGCTGGGGAACTGCCTGGAAGATCTCCACCACAGCTTCCTCAACAAAAACTAACGCTTTTGACAGCTTTGAGTCGTGGTGTGCAGCCCCAACCTCATTCTCACATCATCCTTCTAAATAGAGTGGCCTGTGTCCTGTTGGAACAGAAGCCTAGAGCTGACAGTGCAAGAAAGCCCAGTGTGCAGTATCTGCCTCCTGGTAACCCCGCCAACCTAACTTACCAGAAACTCCTGTTTTACAATAAAACCTGTTACCTTTTTTTTTTTTTTTTTCACTTTTTATTCACCTTTATATCTTACGTGAAAAAATGGTGTGATGCCGTAGTTTATTACTTTTCCCCCGCAACATTGTATCATGATGTTATTGTTGTTATGTGCCGACTCCATAGCGACACTGTACAGGGTTTCCAAGGCTATAAATCTTTATGGGAGAAGAAAGCCTCATCTTTCTCCTGCGAAACAGCTGGTAGTTTTGAACTGCTGACCTTGAGGTTAGCAGCCCGATTTGTAACCACTACTCCATTTGTATCATGATATGTAAACTATTTGACATCATGTATAAAGGTTGTAGTATATTCAAATGTATGCTAATCCTTGTTATTGAAATTATATTATTTCTATTTTGTTACAAACAGTGCTGCTATGGTTATCCTTGTGGTCAAATCCTTGAACTCATTTAAAATTCTTTTCTCAGGATAAATCCCTAGATCTGAAGTGTCACGGTTGGTCTTGTTTTAGGAACTGGTTCATATCATCAGTAAGCTTCATCCACATATACCCCCAAAGTAAGGGCTGTAGATCTTGGGACCTTGGATAATAACAATAAGTGTCCTGGGCTTTTTCCCAGAGTGACAGTGGCTTGTAATTCATATTGTGCTTGACCCTGGTTTTTTGTTGGCTTGTTTGTTTTCATTGTTGCTCACAGATCTCCAGTATTCCTCTTAAATCCTTTGTGGAATGAGATGTGGGGCTTGCATTTATATAGTAATACAAATACAGGTATGTCATGGGGACTTGGAGCTGGCATTTGACTTTATTCTTGTGTTTTTTCTTTTTCCTGTTCATAATTCCATTTGATGAATAATGTGCCTGCTTACCATTTGATGGCATATTGCATTAGGCAAATCTGCTGCACAAGACTTCTTTAAAGAGTTTGAGAGCAAAAATGTCAATTTGAAGACTAAGGTGCACCAAATCCAAGTCATGGTATTTTCAGTAACTTCATAGGCATGTGAAAGTAGGCCAGTGAATAAGGAAGGCGTACAAGAATTGATGCATTTGAGTTATGGTTGTTGCAGGGAAATATTAAAAGTACCATGGACCATCAAAAGAACAAACAGATCTGTGCTTATCTCCATACTTAAGACATATTATCAGGAGGGACCAGTCCCTGTAGAAGGATATCATGTTTGGTAAAGTGGAGGGTCAGAGAAAAAGAGGAAGACTCCAGTGAGATGGATTGGCATGGTGGCAGCTGCAGTGGTCTTGGGCATAGCAATGATTGTGAGGTTGGCACAGGATCGTACAGTGTTGCGTTCTGTTGTACATGGGCCGATGAGTTGGTACCGACTCGATGGCACCTAACAGTAACAACCATTTTAATTATGATATTCTTAAAAGTAGTATGGGAATGTCTTAATTTGTTATTTAAATAATGACTGTTTCAGGTTGATCTTTCCATCATTGTTGCCATATTTGATTCTCTAGCAATGACTGATCATTAAGTGGATCAAATTCTTTTTATAGGAATGACAGTGATGGAGAAGGAGAATCTGATGATCCTGAAAAAAAGAAACTACAGAACCAACTTCAAGGTTGGCGTTAGATCTTTATTTTTTTTTTTTTTGCATTAGTAGCTGAAAGACTGGTTGTGAGTTGTTAATTGGAATTGTGCACACAGATATGCTTTGGTCCCAGTCGTCCCAGGCTGGCTGTGTATGAGCACTTCCATAGTGGTCTCCAGTGGCGGCTGTTTGTGTGTGTATTTTTGCATGTACTGAAAATATTGTTGGGCTGTATAGCTCCTTTTAACAAGGCTCTCAATCAGCTTGTTCTCTCTCCTGTTGTCAGACTGGTCGCTTGCAGAGGACTTACATGTGGCTTTTGTGCCTGTTTCTGTGGCTTCTTCAGTGATGGTTTACTTCACGTGTTGTCCCCTGCCTCGTCCCCCGGGTTCTCCCAGGGTGCTCATATGCTCTTGCACATTCTCTGTGGGTTCCACCTGCACCTTCCACACCTGTGGGTATTTCTGTGTGTGGGCTCTACTTTCCACACGCAGAAGACCCTTTGGTTCTGCTCCTGGGAAGGACATAGGTGTTGGCTCCATTCAGATTGGATTCCCATGCAGGGCCCACAGCTTCAAACAGTGTCATCTCAGATGAGTCACCTACCCTATTAGAGTGAGAGAGTCCCCATCTCCACAGTGGAGAGTAAGAACCTTCCATTCGGGGCTATGAAGAGAGTAATAGAAGCATTAGAAAAACACCAAAGGTTATAGCTGACAAATTTTAGGGGCTCTTTTGTATATTAAAAATCATTTGTTTAGTTGCTGGCTTCCTTAATGCTCTGATTTGATTGTCCTTTGCTTTGTTAGTTAATGGTTTTTTAAATTGAATGATGCTCAGCCATCAGTAGTAGGAATTTTGTTTATTTGAATCTTAACTAGTCAAATTGCAACAAAGAAGGATTTTGATTCTGCAGAGGGCTTCAAAGGGTTCTTCAACAAATGAAGTAAAAAATAATGGAATCGAGATATAGGGCTTCCGGTTTGCCACGCGGCCAGGCTGCACTGGTGAGAGGGGCTCCGGGTTCGGGGGAGGGGAACCAGCAAGGGAAACCTTCCTGGGGCGAACCCACACTCTTACAGTCACCATAAGTCTCAGTACTTCAGAATCTTAAACCCGCTTTTTTGAGACATCACTGTACTGAGGAGCTAACTACTGGCTGTTTGGACTTGTGTCCGCCGCAGCATGCAGCTGCAGCCCGGCTCTTTTGGGCTTGGGGGGGCGGGGCTGGAACCAGCTCATGCGAACCCTCCAGTAGTGGGGAGCCTCGAACAGGGAGAGCCACTGGAGACGAGGGGGGCGAGGAGCGGGGGACATTTGCCCTGAAGTGGGATTTCGACATGTACAGTGGGCAGAGAGAAGCAGGAAAAGAGGAAAGACTGTCTGACGTCATCAGGCGCGGACTGTGCCCGCCCTGCCGAACTGCCTCTGTCCCGCCCAATTGGGCTGCGTTCACTGGCCCTGCTGCCGCGCAGCCGAACACCCCTGCCCCACCCAGCTGAGCTGCGTTCGCCAGCAGCCCCTACTCTGCCCAGCTGAACTGCGTTCTCTGGCCCCGCTGCCGAGCGGCCTCTGCCCTGCCCTGCCCAGCTGAGCCACGTTCGCCATACCCTGTCCACCCACTCGGGAACTCTATCTGGGTCTCCTTTTTTTCAGCTAGCTTAGCAGAAGTCCCAGTGTGGCTCTGAGGGTGGGGGCGCCACAACAGAGCCTTTTGAACTATAGGGTCGGTGGTTCAAGCTCACCAGCCGCTCCTTGGAAACCCTATTTGCCTATCTGGGTCTCCCTTTTTTATTTTAAGCTGGTTCAGCAGGAGTCCCAGCATGGCTCTGAGGGCTGAGGCGCCACTACAGAGCCTTTTGAACTTCAGGGCCGGTGGTTCATGCCCACCAGCCGCCCCTTGGGAATCCTATCTGGGTCTCCCTTTTCTTAGCTGGCTTAGCAGGAGACCCAGCAAGGCTCTGAGGGTTGGGGTGCCACTACAGAGCCTTTTGAACTTCAGGGTTGGGGGTTCAAGCTCACCAACCGCTCCTCAGGAACCCTACACAGGGTTGTTATGGGTCGCAATTGACTCGACAGCGCGTAACAACCAGGAGAGGAGGACAAAGTGACCGAAAGAGAGTTAGGACATTAAAGACATAC